ACAACTGGGTACTGGGGAGATGACCCAAGTCATTAAAGTGCTTGCTATGCAAGCACAAGGACCTGAGTTTGGATTCCCAACACCCATGTAAAAAGCTAGGCACAGCAGTGCGCAATTTTAATTCCAGTGCTGGGGAGGCAAGAGAGGAGGATCCTTGGGCTTGCTGGCCAGCAATCTAGCTGATTGGTGAGTTCCAGGTTCATTGAGAAATGCTATCTCAAAAACTAAGGTGGAGGAACAATTGAGGAGGTCACCCAGCCTCACCCTCTGGCCTCCGCATACATACAACACATGTGCACCACACACACAAACTCCATACCTGTGTAGTACATTTTTATGTACCTTCAAAAACTGGCATCATGCCTTTTTCGGCTTCATGTCATTCTCTTTTCCCCCATCCATCCGCCGCACTTGACATTCTCTCCACTGGCCACCTTCAAGCTGATATTTTTGAAGTAATACTTCTTTATTGACAGTAGTAACCTGCTTCTGAGTTGAACAATATCCTTTCTTCATTTAAAAATACCATCTGCCAGCATAATCTGTTATAGCAGTGTATTAGTCCCTTTTCTGTTGCTGTGATAGAAACACTGACCCAAGCAATTTATAGAAGGAAGAGTTTATTTGAGGTTATGGTTCCAGGGGAATTACAGTCCGTCATGGCAGGGAGGCATGGTGGCTGGAGCAGGAGCAGCAGAAGCTAGTCTCTCACGTCACCATGCAGGCACAGGAAGCAAGAGAGGACTGGAGATCTGGCAAGGCTTAAGAACTCTCTAAGCCCACCCCCAGTGACGTGCTTCCTCCAGGATAGTCACACCTTCTAAAACCTCTCAAAACAGCACCATCATCTGGGGACAAAATATCCAAATACTTGGAGCCTATGGGGGACATTTTCATTCAAACCACCACAAGCAGTATTAGTGATACTCTTATTTGGATAGAATTGAAATGTCATGAGTTTTGTAAATGAGTAATCCAAGGTAGAGCTAATTTATTTCATTTACTTATTTCCTTGAACAGTTTTTCATGCAAAATATATTACTGTAATTTCTGATAGTGATAAAGTAAATTGTAATTTTGTTAGTCATAATTCAGAATCTCTTAATAATGAGGCTTAAGAGAAATATGAAAATACTGTATCATATGTATATGAATATATTTTTATTTTTTCATACGAATAAGAGGCTTAGATTTGGGAAAAGTTATAATTCCAGGGCACCTTAAAGAAATAGCTGCTTCTAGGACTGATGTAGAGAAAGTATCGGATGAGCCTCGGGCGCATCACATTAAATTTAAAAGCTTCTGCAGAGCCAAAGAAACAATCAATAAAGTGATGAGACATCCTGCAGAATGGGAGGAAATCTTTGCCAGCTATTCATATCCAACAGGGATTAATATCCACAATATATTAAAAATCAAACAACCAAGGAGCAAGTAATTCAATTAATAAATGGACAAATGAACCGAAAAACACTTTTCTCAAAAAAAAAGTGCAAATGGACAATAAATACATGTGACAATCTTCAGCATCCTTAGCTATCAGGAAATACAAGTCAAAACTACATCAAGGGTTTGGAGGATATAACTCGATTGTTAAGAGTGCTTACCTCAACTATTCATGAAGCTCCAGTTTTGATTCCCAGCACTGCATAGAACAGGACTATAGTCCCAGCACTAGGGCATCAGAGGCAGGAGCATCAGGAGTTCACCATAATCCTTAGTCACATAGGAAGTTCAAGTCCAGCCTGGGCTATATGAGATCCTGTCTCAAAACAAACAAACAAACAAACAAAGAATCCTCAAAATCAAACCCAAATCAGCCAAACAAAAATAACTACATTGAGATACCATCTCACTCCATTAGAATGTCTATCATCAAGAAAATAAAAACCAATAAATATTGGTAGGGATGTGGAGGGAAAAGGAACTCTTACACAGTGTTGGTTGGAGTGTGAATGATCACCTCTGAGCTATATACCCCTCAAATAAGTGTCAGGCTGCTATAAGGATCCCTGTTTACCCATTTTTTATCACTGCACTATTGACAATAGCCAAGCTATGGAATCAACCTAGGAACCCACCAATGGCTGAATTAATAATAAAAAAAATATGGTATATGAACAATGGAATTTTACTCATCCTTACAAAGAATGAAGCTGTGTTCTTTGCAGAAAATGGACGGGAGTGGAGATCATCATGTTAAATGAAATAAGCTAGTCTCAAAAAGACAAGTATTGCACTTTCCTCTGTTATGCAGAATCTTCGAAAAAATATAAAAGAAGGACATGAAGGTGGAAGGTGGAAGACTATTAGGGAATGGGAGGTGAAGAAAGGGATAAGAAAGGTAATAGAGGAAGTAAATGTGATCAGGATACCTTTCTTGCTTGTGCGAAAATATGATAATGCAACCTCTTACTTTGAAGGTTATTATTTGCTAATATATAGAGAAAAGGGAAAAAAGGGGGGCATTTTAAAAAGTATTGGGTCAGTCTAGAAGAGCTCCTGGTGTTCAAGCCAAATAATTAAATAATTTGAGAAACAAAGTAAATGTGATAGTATTAGATTACAGCATAAAGAATGAAATTGTTACAAGAGTCCATTCAGATAAATAATCAAATAGGTGCATAAATGGGGAAGAAAACTCACTTCCAGAGTTCCAAATGGTACTGTCGGCACTCCTCCCAAGAGGTGGAGCTGAGTACTTCTCCCTTGAGTATGGGCTGAATTATGGCTTATTTCCCATGAATAGAGTATTGAAAGAAAAAAACAATAACTTTACTGGGGAGAAATCTGCCAGACACTATTTGAACCAAGTGGTCAAGGTTAACATCATAAATCAAGTAATATCCTGTACTTCCTGAGTCTGATAAGGGCATTTTACCTTTATGATAGTCTTTCCAAAAATCCATTATTCTAGTCTCCTCATTAAAAAACATCAGGCAAACCTAAATTGAAGGACATTCTATAAAATACTCTTCAAGGGTCAAGGTCATAACAAACAAACAAAAATTATAAGAAGATATCTGAGATTGGAGCAGACTAAGGAGACATCATCATCATCATCACCAATAAAGTATAGAATTTTGGGTTGGATCTTTGTATAGAAGGGCTTAGAGAAGAAATTCTATTGAATTACCTGCATTTGCTTGCTTTCTTTGTGAATATTGGAGTTATTTTTATCTACCTTACAGACCCTCAGCAAATTGCCTCATTTCCGTGGTGAATTTCTATACCAAAGGAGCTGCTATATGAAATTTCAGTGAATCATTTTCTTATATATACAGTATTTTTGTAACAGGAAGGTAAATCAATATGTACATGGTATCCTTAAGTTCTTTGCACACAAATCAATAACGAGGGAGTGAGCAACAGCTGGAGGTGAAGCCAGAACTAGAAGTTTTTCTGATTTGCGGAACATTGCCCTTTTTAAAAACCAGACTGTTTTCCGTAGATTAATATCAATAAATGCTTTATAGATAATTCTTAGAACTTTAAAGAGATGCCTCTTGGAGCTTGACTTCCAAAGTTTGGGAGCTTTCATCATAGTTTTTATGTACTGATGGAGCATAAGTCTTGATATAATAACTGATCACTGTCCTTAAACCACTAAAATTTCAGACTGGGCATACCTTTAATCCCAGCACTCTGGAGGCAGAAGCAGGGGAGATTTCTATAAGTTCCAGGCCACTTTGGGCTACATAATAGTTCCAGGCCAGCTAGGGCTACATTATGGGGGCCCTGACTCAAAAAAAAAAAGCCATTAAAACTTCATGCTGGATTGATTCCTACCGTTTCCATTATTAATAGCAGACCTCTTTTTCCTTTCTCTTTTCTCTTTTTGATGGTCTTCTCAGTTAAACTCTTTCTGGCAATGTAAAATGGAGGGTACTTTCTTGTGTGCTCTGGAGCTGGGATGGATTCAAATTCCAGATCAGTCACTACAGTCACAAGGACTCTAACCTTGGAGTCCTGAGTGCTCTCTATGCCCTAGTTTCCTTATCTACACATGGAAGATAACGATAATATCACTTCTGTCAGAGGACTGCAGTAAGTCTGAGTCACTGTTGTAGGTGATTAGCACCATGCCTGATACAAAGATATACCAAGTAAACCGGGGCTGTTTTCACATTTCCAAGGAATAACAGGTGAAGTGAGCAGGGTATTACTTTATTTCCAACAGTAATTTTGAGCAGATAGTTAACTAGTTCCCAGGAAAAGAAATAACTGTTCCATTGGACTTTATTTAGCTTTGAAGAATAGTTTTCAAGGAGTCTTGTCCTGTTTTAATATAGGGTATTGAGGTTAGGTTGTGAATATAGTAACCCCTGTTTTGGGAGTGTCAGTAGTAAGTCAGGTCGATCATTCAGGCTAATGAGCTAGAGTGTACAGCAAATATAACCTCCATTGACTTCATATTTACTGAATATATGAACGTTCAGAGCTATGACTTGATAATGACTGTGGTAGATATAGTCTATTGTTTTTATCATGTATCAAATATTCTTTTGAGTGATTTATAGGAATATGATGTTCTTTTAAAAATAGTTTATATATTATTTTTGTTTTATGCATATGAGTGTATTGTCTGCATGTATGTACATGCATCCATGTTGTGCAATGCCCACAGAGTTCAGAAGAGGGCATCAGGTCTCCTGGAATTAGTTTATGGACAGTTATTAGCCATCATGTGGGTGCAGGGAATTGAACCCAGGTCCTCTGCAAGAGCAGCCAGTGCTCTTAACTACTGAGCCATCTCTGTAGCTCCTGATGTTTTTCAATGAAATATTTATGCATTTGGGGCTTGAATAATTAAAGTAGTGATCTTATTTAGTTAAATATATTTGTATATGTTTAATTATATGTAGTTATAATTACAATTTGTAGTTTTTAATAATGTTCTAGAATATGCTAATCATGGCAATCACATTAAACCTTTCCCAACATCTTGAAATTACCTTTTCTTAATTTCTTTCTGTTCGGTCTGTGTTTTGTTTTTGTAGAAAATATTCCGGAGAAGGATCTTCAAGGAAGACTTTATATCAACCGTGTTTTTCATATCAGCGCAGAGAGAATGTTTGAATTACTCTTCACTAGTTCACGCTTTATGCAGAGATTTGCTGATTCTAGAAATATAATAGGTTGGTTCTCTGTTCTTACCTAATAACAAATTTGGGAAGGTGTACTTAGAGGGTTGAAACTGATTTATGTTGTCTGGTGGAAAATTAGACATATTTTGATTTTATGATGGTGATTTTTAAATTGGTATTTAAATGTTTGGTTAAATCCACATGTAAAGAATATAATTGTTTGATTAGTCAAATGCACTTAAAGTTAGATTTAGATTCTTTAAAAAAACAAATATTCATTAATGTAACTGTTCAGTTGAGTTGAACCCAGTACAGAAAGGTTCTATTGTGGAACAACTGGATACTTGTGGAGTGTAAACTGAAACAGCCACTTCTCCAAATGGCCTGGCATATCTACTAAAGCTATGGATTCTTGGACTCGGTACTTCCACTGTGAGGTATTCACCCATCAGAAATGGGCACCTGTGCACTCTGGAAGACACTGATGCTTAGGCAGCATCACTGCCCCAAATACCCATCAGTAATAGAATAAACAAATGATTCGTTTCCATAAAAGAGTAAAACCTCACAGACACACTCACACATAAAATGAGTAAACCTCACAGACACAATCTTAAGCAAAAGAAGCCAAATACAAAAAGTATACACAGCGTAATTTATTTATATAGACAGAGTGAAAGACAGTGTGAAAGGACAGATGGTGTTTTGTTTTGTTTTGTTTTGTTCTTTTTTGAGGCAGGGTCTCCCTGTAAACCCTGGCTGGCCAGGAACTCACTATGTAGATCAGGCTGGCCTTGAACTCAGAGATCCACCTTCCTCTGCCTCCCAAGTGCTGGGATTAAAGGCATGCACCACCACGCCCAGCCAGAAGGTTGACTGAGGATAAGAAGTTCTTAAATCTTAGTCTGTATGGTGGTACCCATGTGTCCAGAGCTATGCACTTACGATCATAGTACCCTAAGTATACTTTTCTGAAAAGAATTTTAAGTTTTTTTTTTTGTAGGAAGCTGGTCATATTCCTAAGAAGAATTTCACTGATCATTTACTTTATTTTTCTTGTTAAATAATTTCAGTAAACTTATAGTAAGTTTAAAAATGATTTATAGCAATCTGGGCATGGTGGCGCATGCCTTTAATCCCAGCACTTGGGAGGTAGAGGCAGGCGGATCTCTGTGAGTTCAAGGCCAGCCTCATCTACTTGGGCTACAAGGAGACCCTGTCTTAAAAAGATCCCCAAAATGATTTATAGCAAATGTTTATAGATACTTTATTAGCTTTGGGAGATGACTATATAAAATTAGTACAGACTAGCAGCATAAATTTATGCAAAGTAAGCCATTTGACATAGTAAGGAAAAGTTCTGTAAGGATTTTCTTAACCATTAGATGTCAGTACTTTACCTGCAACTTTTATGTAAGCATAGGTAATTGTATATAGATGAAGTAAATGATAGAGATTCCAAGACAGAAATGAATTTATTCTTATTAGTCATAGTAGAGCAGTACTGAATCTTGTCATTAAATCATGAGTTTCATGACTTTAAAAAATCATTTTCCTGCTGGGTGTGGTGGTGTATGCTTTTAATCCCAGTACTCTGGAAGCAGAAGCAGGAGGGTTTCTCTGAGATGGAGGCTAGCCTGGTCTATATAGTAAGTTCCATGCCAGCTGGGTCTACAGAAGACCCTGTCTCAATAAGAAAGTAAATCATTGTTCTGTTTTTCCATTTTAAAAAACTGGGACTATCTAAATATCTAAGAGCTATAAGCCATCCTCTATTCAGTGGTTTATATTTAGCTTATTATATCTCTTCTGAAACTAATTGCACTTTGCTGCTCACTTCTATCTAGAGGACTTGACATTTCAGAAGAGCTAGATATACTGTTCTCCCTGAATTTCTCAGAAATGCCTGCTGATATGGCCCTGCCATTTTTATAGCCAGGAAGAACTATAGGTTATTCCAAACTGGTACACAGTGAGGTTTGCTTTTTGTAACACAACTGGTTTGTTGTCTGATATCTATCTGGCTTCCAGGTGGAAGATTATATCTACTATTTGGTGTTATAAATAGCTCTGGGAAGCAAAGGCTTCTGGCTCATTCCAAGTCTGAACAGTTTCAGGCACATTACAGGCTGGACATAGAATTAGAATCTTTTCTCCAAAAGATAATCTGGTCATGACTGAAAACCATATTGTTTTTCTTAGAATCTGCTACTTGGTAATCAAAGTTATATTTCTTCCTTTCACTAAAAAAAATTTTTTTTATCTTTTTGAGACAGGGTCTCCCTGCAATGACATGTAGCAAAATTCCATGCCTTTTAAAGGCAGAATTATATTCCATTATGTGCATTATGTAATACTATCTTCTGTTTATTCACTTATCCACTGATGGCATTTAGCTTATTTATACCTTTTAGCTACTATAAAAACTGCTGCTGTGGTCATTACCAAGCAAATATCTGTTCAAGTCCCTGCTTTTATTCCTTTTCAGTATATATTAGTACCAGAAGTATAATTTTTGCATAACTTCATGTTTACCTGTTTGAGGAATAGCCAATACTATTTTCTACAATTGCACCATTGTACAGTCCTATAGCAATGCATGGAGGTTCCAGGTTTTTCCACAGACTCAGCAACACTTGTTATTTTCTAATTTAAAAAATGTTTTGTTTATTATTTTTATTTTTTGTGCACAAATACTTTGCATGAGTGTAAGTACATTCATGTTGTCCGTGGAGGTCTGAAGAGGGTATTGGATCCCTTGGAACTGGAGTTACAGATGGTTATTAACCACTGTGTGTGTGTGCTGGGAATTGAATCTGGGTCCTCTGCAAGAGCAGCCAGTGTTCTTAACCACCGAGCCATCTCTCCAGCCTCTATTAAAGCATTTTAAAGTGTTTGTTTTGCAATTTCTGTCCTTTTTTTTTTTCCCCTCCTTTGGTCTTTTTGAGACAGGGTCTCTGTGGTGGTTTGAATGAAAATGCCTCCCATAGGCTCCAAGTATTTGGACATTTTGTCCCCAGTTGGTGGTGCTGTTTTGGGAGGTCTTAGGTGGTGTGGCTACCCTGGAGGAAGCACATCACTGGGGGTGGGCTTAGAGAGTTCTTAAGCCTTGCTGGATCTGGAGTCGCTTTCATGCTTCCTGTGCCTGCTTGAAGATGTGAGAACTTAACTTCTGCTGCTCCTGCTCCAGCCACCTCCAGCCACCATGCCTCCCCACCACAACAGAATGTAATTCCCCTGGAACCATAATCTCAAATAAACTCTTCCTTCTATAAATTGCCTTAGTCAGTGTTTTATCACAGCAACAGAAAAGTGACTAATACAGTCTCCCTACAGCCCCAGCTGGCCTGGAACTCACTATGTAGACCAGTCTGGCCTTGAACTCACAGAGATCTGCTTGCCTCTGCCTCCCAAGTGCTGGGATTAAAGGTGAGTGCTACCATGCCCTGGCTTCAGTTCCTGTCCTTTTATTACATTAGCTTAATACATAAAAAAAAGGCAATGTATCCTTTTGTCTTCTGTTGCCATTTTCTTACAATCTCATTCTAGATTTTTTTAATATGCTAAAGAACTTTGCTTAGCTATTGAAGATTGATCATTCCAATATGATGCTAGTCTGAGGATGCTCTGTCTGGTAAATGATATTCAGTAAGCCTTACTGGTATTGCTGGTAAAATTCCAAGTGTAACATGCATGGAAAAGTAGGTGAGGGTTTTTTTAAAAATCCTTTTTGATTGTTGATTTATTTAATAGTATGAAATTTTAATGGCAGGATTCAGCGATAACTTTTGATCCTGTTTTTGATTAACAATAGATTATATCATTATCATTTTCTTGGAACAGGCTGACATACGACCAAAGTAATCTTCTGAAAAAAATATTTTGAGATTTAAATGGTATATCTTTTCCCATGTACACCTAAATAAATTAAAAAATTCTTTAAATTTTTTTATTTTTATGTGTATGTGTGCATTGCCTGCATGTAGGTAAGTGCATCCCTGTTGTGCAATGCCTGCGGAGGACAGAAGAGGCTGTCAGATCCCTTGGAGCTGGAGCTATGGACAGTTGTTAGCTACCATGTGGGTGCTGGGATTCAAACCACTGAGCCATTCTCTCCAGCCCCTAAATTGTTTTTATGGCACATTCTGAATGGGAGATTCTATGGTGTATGATGTTCTAAAATTTAGTTTTAAGATATTTGGAGAGATGTGCAAAGGGCAGCTTTAACATCCTTTCCTAAATCCCTAGGCCTACTTGTGTAAAAGAAGTTCAGCAAAAATGGCTTTCTCTTCAAGCCTTGCTTTAATGATAATGGATTAAAATAAGATTGCTATCCAAGACCAGTGTGGTGGCGCACATCCTTAATTCCAGCTCTCCAGAGGCAAAGGCAGGAGGATCTCTGGGAGATCGAGGACAGTCAAGGCTACACAGTGAGACCCTGTCTCAAAAACAACCCCCCCCCCAAAAAAAAGGGTTTATAAATGAAAAATAGTTTATGAAGCCCTGGTATGTGTCACGTAGAAGAGTGTCTAATATTTAATCCCCCCTTTCAGTGGTGTTAAATATATGTAGTGATAAGGGGTTTGGACTGGTCAGAAATAATTCTGGAAATAATTCTGGAACTATACCTTTGATCCAACTTAAAGTTTTCATGTTTTCTCTGGTTAGATGTCGTGTCTACCCCTTGGACAGTAGAATCTGGAGGTGATCAGCTGAGGACTGTGACCTATACGATAGTACTTAATAATCCACTGACTGGAAAATGCACTGCTGCCACTGAAAAGCAGGTATGTTGATTCTGTCAGTGCTCCAAAAGAGTCATGCTTGTGCTGAGAGAGAAGATGCCTGTCATAGTTAGCAACTTACAAGAGAGTTTCACCAGATACCTGACAAGGGGTAAGGAATTGTTATAGGTTAAAATATACCTACAAGGCATATAAACCAATACCACCTGTTCAAAAGTATTTATGAAATTTGAGGAATTCTTAATGTTACTTGTTTTTTACTTTTTTACTTTTTTTTTTTTTTGGCCTTTTTTTGAAACAGGGTCTCCCTATAGCCCCAGCTGGTCTGTAACTCACTATGTAGACCAGGCTTGCTTGAACTCACAGAGATCAGCCTGCCTCTGCCTCCTGAGTGTTGGGATTAAAGGTGTGTACCATCATGCCTGGCCTTGATGTTATTTTTAACAGTGGAATTGTAATTTCTTTTTGTTGTTCTGGAGATTAGATATAGGGTCTCATGCATGCCAGGCAAGCATTATATGAGCTACATCCCCTAGCCTGTAGTTATAAAGAACATGATATTTATTTTTAAAAGACTGATATATTTATTTTTTAAAAGATTGGTACTGAAGAATTTATAAAGATGTAAACGGATGCCAGGCCTGGTGGCCCATGCCTTTTACCCCAGCACTCAGGAAGCAGAGGCAGGCAGATTTTTGTGAGTTCAAGACCAGCCTGGTCTACAAAGGGAGTTCCAGGGCAACTGGGGCTACAAGGAGACCCTGTCTCAAAAAGACCAATACGTGTGTGTGTGTGTGTGTGTGCGCGCGCGTGCGTGTGTGTAAACTGAAATATTCATGTATAAAATGATGTTGATGCCTCAGATTTCTTTTAAAACTAATCTACCAAGTTGAAGGGAGGCTGGAAGATGGAGATACAGTTCAGACAAAAGAAGACTGGACAGTAGTTAACATTGTTGAAGGTGGTTGAGGTCATGAGGGTTCACTATACACATTTCTACTCTTGTGTGTGTCTACAGTTTTCCATAATAGAAGATTTTAAAATGAGCACTTCTAAAATATAATTTACGGGCTAGGGTCAATGATGAAGGCCAAGGAAATAGTTGGCTGCTGTGACAAAACTAAACACTAGCTATTGATACTCTCCTCATGACCTGTGTGGCACTGTCTTAGAGTGGAGGGTGTACTTGGCCAACATATTCTATCTGAAATAGACTACAAATAGCTGAAACACCTAAGGGAGGTATGCTCAGATATGCTGTCCATCATTCTTTAAAAAAAATGTGATTCTATGTCTTTAACAAAATTTTGAAAGGTTGTCAAGCATACAAGAAAAACATCAGTATTTTGGCACAGAATCTTTGATGAACTTGGAGGCTGTCCCATCCTCCTTTGAGGAAGGTGGAAGTGGTCAAGATGAAGACAGTTTAGCAGGCAGATCCTCTTAAGTTCTGTTTAGGGAAAGCAGTCTTTTGTCTCACCCATTTCTTTGCTTTTTTTGATGAAGGCTAGTTTTGTTAAACTTCAGTGAATGTAGGAGTCGGGGCCCTTGTGTTAGTCAATTGATTCTTCAGTTTGTCAATTGAAATTTTAATTTAAAACTTTTTACAACCATGGGGGCTGGAGAGATAGCTCAGTGGTTAAGAACACTGGTTGTTCTTGCAGAAGACCCAGGTTCGAATCCCAGCACCCACATGGCAGCTAACCACTGTCCATAACTCCAGTCCCAAGGGATCTGACAGCCTCTTCTGACCTCCGCAGGTATTGCACAATACAGGTGCACTTCCCTACATTCAGGCAATATACCCATACACATAAAATAAAAAATAAATAAATAAAATTAAAACTTTTTACAACCAATAACACAGAAGGAAGATTATACATTTCCCCTTCTTATGCCTGGAAGAAAAAGTTAATTGTATAATGAAATGACAGAGAAGCAGTAAATTTACTTCTGAAGTCCCTTCTCAATCCATTGACAACACAGCTGATGTAGAGGCTCTTCTCGCTGGGCACAAGGTTTTTTATGTAATCTTGTAATTTCTGAGAAGGAATCTTAGTCTATGTTCTAAATTTCTGGGAAGCATAAAAATATTAAAAGCATACATGTGAGCATTTTTATCCTGTTTTGGCAGATACTGTATAAAGAAAGCCAGGAAGCACAATTTTATTTAGTAGATTCAGAAGTACTGACACATGATGTCCCCTACCACAACTACTTCTATACCTTGAACAGATACTGTATTATCCGATCTACAAAACAGAAATGCAGGCTAAGGTGAGTGTGTTAGTCAAAGTAGGCTAGATTGTGCTCTGGTAACATATCAGCCTTGAATTCTTAAACAAAAACAACAAACCTTTATTTCTTGCTTTAATCACACATCCAATACTGGTCAGGAGAGGGATGGGACTCCTCACTTAAGACTGAAGGTCATGAAAACTTTGACATCCTGAAGTTACAGAGTCTAGAACAAGCCTCCCTCAGTTGCCCCAAGAAGAGAAAGCTGTAGAACTGTGCTGCTAGCCCATTGGCCAGAACTAGGCACATGACCCTGTCTAAACGCCACAGGGTCTGAGTGTTCTAGGGGAGCACATGGTAAGCAGGAAGAGACTCTGCTGCAGTCCAAAGTAAAAAATGCTGGCATTAAAGAGTGATGGATCATCATATGCTTTGCTTGGTCCTAATTAATAGAGTTAATTTCAACCATTGTATAATCACTAGAGATTCTCACCCTGCTTCTGTAGGTATTAGAAAACTTAGCATTTATTTGGAGGCTTTATGAAAATGTGATGAAATTATTAGCAGCTCACAATAGTTTAATGAAGTCACTATCAATGAACAAATATTATTCTATTACAGTAATGACTTTTAATTCTTTTGACTTTCCACAGATTTCTTATATTTCATTGCAATATTCAGATAGCTAGCGTAGTCAATGACCATACCAACCCTGAATGTCCCTATCTCTTCTGATATCTAACTCCTGTCTTTAAATCATATCTTGGGGGTGGGGGTGGGGGGTTGGACAGCCCCAGCTGACCTAGAACTCAGTATGTAGGCTGGCCTTTATCTCACAGAGATCTACCTGCCTCTGTCTCCCAAGTACCGGGATTAAGGGTGTGCACCACCATACATGGTGTCTAAATATTCTTACAACCTTCTTATCCTATTAGAGTGTCCACGGATTTGAAATACAGAAAACAACCATGGGGCCTTATCAAATCTTTAATTGAGAAGAATACCTGGAGTTCATTGGAGAACTATTTCAAACAGCTTGGTTTGTAAATTTTTTTAATTAATCAATTAATTTTATGTGTATGAGTGTTTTACCTGCAGGTATGTAAGTGCACCCATGCTGTGTAGTGCCTGAGGAGGCCAGAAAAGGGCCTCAGATCCCCTGGAACTAGTTATAGAAGGTTGTTAGCTTTCATGAGAATGCTGAGAATTGAACCCCAGTCCTCTGTGAGAATAGCCAGTGTTCTTAATCACTAAGCCATCTCTCTAGCCCCAGTTTGTAAAAGTTTATGTATCTGTTTTTATCTCGTTAGCATTTATGAAGCCTGGTGTAGTGGCACACGCCTTTAATCTCAGCACTTAGGAGGCAGAGACAGGCAGATCTCTGTGAGATCCAGGCCAGCCTGCTTTATGTAACAAGTTCCAAGCCCTACCACAGTATAAGACCCTGTCTCAAAAAACAAACAAAAAACCCCAAAAGGATAGCATTTATTAAACAGCAGGTTGGTTTTTTTCACTAAGATATGAAGCAGGGCTAGAAGATGTTGTTGGAAAGATTCTCACTGAAGTAGTTTTGTTTGCTTTACTTACTTTACCAATAGTAAGATTTCAAATTTTCTATTTTAATTGACCTAACACTTGTATAATGCTTAATCTATGCTAGTCATATAATAAATTTTTATGCACATTACAATGTTAACTCATTTCATATTCATAACATGGGAAGTATAGGTAGGATTATTTTTCCACTCAGTATAACCAGTTTTTTCCACTTTACTACAGAGAAACTCAAAAGATACTGTGATTAAGTGATCATAAAGTTGAACACTGTCATCCTTCTTGCCTCTGTAAGGTGCCAGGGGATTGACCACAGTGAGGGATTATATAACTGGGTCATAGACACACACTTGGCCTCTCTCACATCTGGAGAGCCTCAGGGTCCCACCTGCCTTCTTGGCTGCAGCTTTCCTGGGCTTATGTAGGCCCACTTGGCAATGGTGCTATGTATGTACACAGATGAATTTAGTAGAGGAGGGTACTGGAAATGACTGGGAAGCAATACAGCTGTTCTGTTTGGATATTTCTTAATATATACATAAGGGAAAAATATATGTGAACATAATTAATTTTACTGAAGGAAAAGCTGGAGGTCAGTCAGCTCTGGGTAACTTAAGGTTTATCATTTACTTTGTCGATTATTTACTTTCCTGGCTCTTTTCCCTTTGGCTGTTTCATTATTAAACTTCTCATCATCAACAGAGAAAATGAAACTCAAAAATTAGTTTGGCTGGATAATGAGTTTCTAATAAAAAATTGGGTGAGGGAAAAAGGTCAAAGTAAAAGACAAAAATGAGGTTTTTAGGTTGTTTGTAGAATGCTTCCTTTGTTTGCAAACTCTTAGAACTTTTATATGCTCCTCTTTCCTTTGAGGTTGAAAAGTACCAGAACCTACCTTGGAAATCTTTCTAATGATCCCATATAAGTGGGTGGGGCTGTTGTTTCCATAACAGAAGCCATTACATGAATATTTAATATGGCACCTAGCAAGTTTCCACTGATGATCCATCATTTATTAATATACATTCTTCCTAGAATAATGAAACCTCATTATAGGGTCATTGTAGTCTCTAAAGCTTTTCATTAAGAGTAAAGTTGGAACCTAGTCTGTAAGAACCTAAGGAATGGTTAAAGAAGATTATCAAGGCTTAAATGAAGAAGCGTGCACACAAACACACACACACACACACACATCTTACAGATAAGAAAGCTCTCCTTCTTATCCTTTTGTTTTTCACTTTCCTTCTTAGAATCAGATTTGTTAATGGAAGAATCTGTGTTAAATCACTCCATTGACGACCCTGGAAAAGTTAGTGGCCTACGAAGGAGAAGGCGGACATTGAACCGAACAGCAGAAGCAGTTCCCAAGCTTTCTTCTCAGTGTTCTTCTGGAGATACGGGCTTAGAGGCCAAAGGGGAAAGTACAGGTAGCTGTCACTGGTAAACAGATAAAGGATTTTAGCCTATAGGAAGCATAAGGGGCCTCTTGTTTATGAGGTATGTCATTTAGGAAGTCTGCCTTTCTTCTCTTTTTGATGTCTAGCATACTCTGAGTTCCTTAAGGATAACTACTATCAAACCTAAAGGAACAGTTGGGACATGGCAGGCATATGGCCAATAGAGGATTTTTATTTCACCTACACAGCATATAAAATTTGGACATTTTAAATAAAAACTCAGGTCTTATTGCCCTGTACCAAATCACTTCATGAGAGCACTTGGTTGGAGCCTGCTTGTAGTTTTCTGTGCAGACTGTCTGTGTCCCCCAGCTGGCTACTGTTCCCAACACAATCACCACCCTCCGACCTTCTGGGCAGCTTACTCATTTGTTTTCTGCTTAGCTTCCACAGATGTTTGATTTCTGTCTCTGAGTGTACTGCTCTCAGGTACTGTCAGGACCAGCCTAGGCAAACTGCAAAGATGGAACTTGACTTTTAGTATTCCCACTTCCAATTCTGAAGACATTTTGCTGCTATCCCCTCCCCGTCAGAGCCATAAAGCTGTCAGACCCTCTTACCTGCCTCGTTCTCAAATCCCCATTAGACCTGTGTCTTTGCATAACTATGTTTATCCACTATTTAAGATCAATGGCTTTTAAATTTATTTAAAGATTTAGGCCACAGTGATTGGTGAAGGTGATTTTTTTCTTAAAGGAGAGAAATACTGTATATCAACTCAGTGCATCTGCTTTTTGCAGAGATAGTACTTAGCAATATATCATGCATTATATATTGACTTATTTAATGTTAGAATAAATTAATTTGTAACATACCTCAAACTTGAAGAATTTCTATAGGTTATCCCATTGTAGATTTGTTTCATATTTTACCTAGGGTATTGGGAATTAAAATAGAGGTGCAGAGAATTCACCCTAAATCACTTTGTCCTTATAAATACTATTTTCCAAGTTCTTTTCAAACAGTTGTTAATGTTCTCCCACTGTTCACAGTCTGCAATCTAATGCAGCTTTTTTTCTTGTGACCTTCAGGAAAGAGAAAGGCTATGGAAAGCTGTGATGCTGCTCTTATCGTGGTGATGAGTGTTTTGTAAGTATTTGCTGTGACTGTCTACTTCGTGTGGATGCCTAGTTTGCTTGCATCCACATCTGCTTTTAACTTGTTCCCCAAAGAAATGAAATGCATTTGTGTTTTCATGGTTATAAATGATCACTATTGACCAGTGTTGGTCTATAAAACAGTAGTTTTATAGGTTTCTGTGTGATAGCTTTGGATATATGATTTTCAGAATTGTTAATTTGAGGGACTATAAAACATACAGGCAACATTTTTAAAACCAATTTGACTTATTTCTATCACCATAGGTTTTTATGTCTATCACCACAGGTTTTTATGGGAAATTCCACAAATTTAAAGAGAATATTTATAGTTAAATGCTGGTAAAATTCCAATAAAATTATTCTATTTGACTTAGATAGATCAGTGGTTCTTATGCTTATGTAAATAATAACCATTTGGGAGCTTACTAAAATGCTGATTTCTTGGCCCCAATCTCAGAGATTGATTCAATAGATCTTGATTAGGGATCAAAAAATTTTAAAGCACATACTCCAGATTATTCTGATGTAAGTACTTTGTGCATCACATGGGGAGGAATACTGGGCAATTTAGTCTGAAGCTCAGGGACACTAGGAACCTAGCTAGCAAGATATTCAGTGTTCCTATGCTACATGGCTATGTATGGATCTTGAGGTAGTCCTTTGATTAAATTCATTCTGATTCAGTAATACACTGTAGGGGATAATTTGTGGAATGAAACTCTTAGATATTTTTTCTTATTACAGGTTTCAGAATAAGAAAAGAGTATTTGTTGTCCTTTGAAGTTTTTGTTCTGTTTTTAAGATACGGCCTTGCTCTGTAGTCTTGGCTAGTCTGGAACTGTCTCACAATCTTCCTACCTCAGACTCTTGTATGCTAGAACAGCCTGTGTACTTTATTACTCTTAGATTCTTTGACACTTTTGAATAGCAAATATCACTATATTACTTTGCAGGAAATTTATATTCAAATACTGAAGTATTTTATATGCATATGTGTGCATGCATATATATGTATATATAAAACTTCAGTACTATAATAATTCCATAGATTTGATTTTCTTGCTACCTTTAAGTTTTCTCACATACCAT